ATGATGCCTGGAGGCTGCTGAGGATCCCCGTCTCCTGTTGTGTAAGCTCTCTGGATTGATAAACTGATAGATCTATACCGATGCAGATGATCAAGATCATATATATTGCCTGATCCATCAAGCAAAAAATAAGTCTTGAGTACCACTAGGATGAAAAGATACTGCACGCACTATCGGGCATCAATCGTGCCACCATCTGATGCCAGCTCAAGATGGCCATCATCCACGACGATGCTTGTGACTTCTTCTTTCGGGATGGCTTGAGTTCCAGGGGAATCATCGGATGGGATGTTGATCCCCGCAAACCCAATCATAACAGCGACAGCTCCAATGTAGTCCATGAGGTGGGGAGCATGGCCGGTCAGTGTGTCCACAACAGCGGCTATCGGGACCTGAATTGTTAGACCAGCCGTAGCAACTGTTGTTGTTGTTAAATGGGTGGCCTTCACCCATAAATAATCGCTCAGCACATTGTCCAATAAACCTGTGCCGACATAAATCAGAATGATGTTAAGTTGTAACCATTTCCTAGTCTTTGTTCAGAATACAGACTAAATAAAAGGAAAATTCATCATATCGACCTTAAAAAATATGCAAGTACGTATGCATAGAGCTGCAGGAACTTTCTAAAAAGGATGATTCAGCATGACTTTCTTGTGAAGGAAAAAAAAATATGCTAGGTAACATAATATGATCCAGAGGACACAGTACTTCTATCATTTGTTGTTTCCAATAAGCTATTATAGTTTGTAGGCTTCGATAGTAATCATGAATGAGTTTCCACATGGAAGTCAGAAGATATAACACACATGTAGGATACTTCTATAGTTCTTCAGTTTTTCCACTGTTGAGGAGTTGATGAGTATAGCTCAAATAGTACTGGCACTATGGCTATCGGTAATACAGAAGGCCAAATTCACTACCCAATAGTATGGAGTCATAATCTTTGTCAAAAAATTATATCACTGTAAAAGAATTACTGACCACAGAGTATAATTTGAAGTTCCAATAAAAGACCTCATCATGATGTTAGACACATTGCGAATGAATTAAACCATTCTTATAGCTGCTGCACTTCTAAATGGGAAGACTGGAACTGGATAGCATAGAACTGCATAAGAAATAGGATTTCACCTACTTCAGTTATGATGCTTGTAACCTCATTAGTACATTTCCACTAATACTCAATAGTTCATGTAACAAAGTTCACAAGTATTGAATCCTCAAAACTTCATTACATTACGAATGGTAGTGGAACTATCATAATACAAATAGAAAAGCCAACAAGAGATTAAGATATAGAGGTTCCCAGTGCTTATTGATGGTTCGGAGCTAGAAGACATGTCATAAGCTATGCTTGTTGGTGAAAAGTGAGGTATTCAATCTTTTTCATGCCAACCTTCTTCGAAAGATAATCATGATAGGTACCACATGTGTCCAAAGATAACATTCTAAGAGCATTAACTTAAGTAGCATCTAGAATTGAGTGTCAGAAAAACATTTTTTTTATTTTTCCAAAAGAAAGTGATCACTAGATAATCTAATACGATCCAAAGAGATTATACTCATAATATAAGCTAAGAATAATAATAAAATTGAAACTTGGAGGCTAAAAATAAAAATGACTACAAACCTTTTCCAACAATAAGGCCAAATTGATTCCAGTTAAGGCTGCGAAAGGGCTCCAATCTTGTGAAATTTAAAAATACAGCAACAGGAAGAAATATCAAGAGATTAAATAGCCCAACAAAACCAAGAAACTGAGCGGTACTTGCTTGACCTTCTCCTTTTTTCTCATCAGGTAACTTTTTCCGAATCAGGGTGATATAAACAGCATATAGTCCGGCTGAGATGAGAGCTAGAACATCTCCTAAAAGAGGATTTGTTGCAATTGCACTGACTTCAGAACCTGAATCAGCTAGACTGACAATTATTGTTCCTCCCATGCAGAGAAGAACACTTGTTAGCTTCAGCCATGTGAATTTTTCTCCAAGAAAAGCTAAGGCAACCAAGAAAGTGAAAAGGCTTGACGTGCTGCTCAAAATAGTATTTGACTGCAGATAGGAGTAAATACCCTTAATGTACTATTACAAAACAAACAGGAAATAGGAGATTTGTAGAAAAAGATGGCAACTAATTATGAAATCATACTTACTGTAACTGTCGTATACTTAAGTGAAAGATTGAAGGTTAGTTGTGCAAAGAACCAAAAAGGGCATATCAGCAAGCTGATTGTAGCCACACAAGTACGAGTCCAGCGTCCCTTTGAATCCACTTGCTGACTGCAATCATCTATGGCCATAATTGGTTCTTGCTCAAAGATTATTCTACTCTGACTATGAAATGTACTCTCAGAATCTTGAGATCCAGAGACAGCTCCTGACATAATTTCCATTCCAGTAGGACTGATCACTGGTGGGTGAGTATTATGATCACCTTCTACTAGAAGATTTACATTCTCCAAATCAGCAGATAGCTGCGTATCAGAATGATTCTTGCCTTTGAACCAGGAAAAGATTTTTTCATTTGAATCCTCAACATATCGAGAAATTTCAACAATAGGGATGTAAACCACAAATAATGAGTTGCAGATGTAAGTTATCAAGAAAGGAGAAACACCAGAGTCTACAACAGACTGAACTATATAGCTAGCAGCAATCCATATTGTTGCCACTGCAAGTATATATATCAATCCTAAAACCCAACGCCGTGTGTCTCCCTCCATCCACTTTCAGATCGATTTCCACTCGTGAACCTTTTTTATCCAATTGATCCAGGTTGTTACAGCTACCTGGCAAAAAAAAAACTACATCATTATGCTTCTAACGAATAATTGTATGACATCCTCTTTTCAGCTCAAGAAGTTGCATAATCACTTAATGAAATGAAAACAAGAATGTGTAGGCTTAGTCTGACTTATTTTATCATTCAAAAGGCAGTAGAGTGAGATAGCAATATATTCAAATGTAATTTGGGATGAATTTCTAAAGAATATAATAAAAGCATACTATTCCAAAACACGTTTTACATCATTCTTAATAATGTATGATACTAATTAACTACCTCTGGTAAAAGAACCAAGAATTGGACCACATAAGACTTCACAATAACTCACACCAAATGCCTTTCTAATTGCAAAAATGAAAAAAAGAGAAAAAAGTCCTATCAATCAAGTGGTCCAAAGACAAGGTCACTGCTGAAAAAAAAAGGAGAATTTTTCTAGAACAATTATAAATGTAATACTTCTAATGAATAATTCTATGCCAGACTCACCCTCGTCCACTGAATCAACAATTAGCAGGAAATTCTGTAGTCACTAAAAACATGAAAACAGTGATCTGAACGAGAAACTTTTAGATTCATAGGTCACCGGAGTTCTACTTTAAGAATATTTCTCTAAAGAATACGCTTATAGTACGAATGTACTACCTTCGAACACGTTCACGTCATTCTATCCCAATGTACGCCACTGATTACCCGCACAACCGCAAACGAATGCCTTCCCTATTCCAAGAAACAAGACATTGCAGCAAAAGCGCGATTTATCATCACAGAACAATCGTTCATCGACACCATTGCAACACAAAAGAAGAAGAAAACCAATAAATCATGTGTTCCGGCACGAGATGATTACAAAGGAGAAAACAGTCTTTTGCTCCTGGCGTCTACCTAATTTCTTCCGAGAGTAATTTAACGCCGAAAGACCCAACGACAAATACTGAGGAAAGATAAAAAACAATTGAAATCAAGAGATCCATAAGGGAAAACGAAACCTTGGAGGTGATCCAATCGACCGTCGGCTCAACGGAATCGACGGAGAAAAACACGACAATTCGAAGCAAGATTGAGAAGCTCAACTCCTCCACAGCTCGAAGAAGCCCCAATCGGCGGACGACGAGATCTAATTGGATCTCGTAGGAAGTTTTTGAATCGCCTAACCGAGTTGACCCAATGATCTGAAAAGTTATCGGAATCTCTCTCTCTCTCATCCTCCCCAAGTTTTTTCTACATCGGATTCCGTTCTCCGTGTGCTAAATCCAATCCTATAATTGATCTGTCACGGATGCGGGTTTCTGTGTGATCCGATAACTGAATCCGATTTATAATATTTGTCAAAACATGGAATCCCAATAAAAGAAAAAAAAAAGAAGATAAATTTACTCATACATCATTTTAAAGTCTACAAATATTATATTTACCCCTCTATATATTTTCATTTCATATATATTCCTCCAAATATTTTGATTATATATCTAAATATTTTGATATCTAATTATATATATATATATATATATATATATATATATATATATATATACACACAGCATATTGTATTTTTGTTCGCATACAGTATGGTTTATAAATTTGTACTGGTAAATCAAATTTTAAGACCAATAACAGTTTTATATAAATAATAGAAGAAAACCAGCAAGTAATAATGTTATATGCAATAGCTTCAAGTCGGCCATTGTCATATGCTGGTCTGAACTAATACATATCTCTAAAAGCTTGATACAAAATTTCACTTTCATGGAGCACCAAAATCTCAAGGATACAGAAAACGAAATGATAGTATCCAACAGGAACCTGTTCTAATCACTAGCAAATCAACCTTTATTTGTAATTCGAAGAGTAAAAAGGAGTAATTTCCTATTGTTGCCTGGATGATGATTTTTTTTTTGTTCTTTGGTTGGAAATTTAAGGTTCACACTTTTATCATATTAGTTCATGAAGCAAAGTAGAAATCTGGAGGCCACAGTGCCAGAAACACACTAATGTAGTCTCCGTTTAGGCTTGACCAGATAGGCTAATACACAGTACAACATTAAACAAGATGTCCCTATACTGTCTCTGATGAAACTATTACTTGGAGTAGTAAAAATATTTTCCAGCAAATCTCTTCCCTGAGAGGACATTCACATTTAACTTCTTCCCTGTGGATATCAGGCATCAAAATCCACAAGATTCAGTGAATCAACACAAATGGCATTCATAACCCTGTAGACATTATTTCCTGCTATGTGCAAGTTCATCACATAGACCAATGGAACTTGTATTAGACTATATTCTAGAATGACATCCTGTTCTGAGCTTGCAATATAAAATATTTTGCAACTAAAAAGATCATATGAAATAGCACCATAAGCATCACGATCTCATAGGTTAGAGATTGTTGACACAGCATTTACTTTGCAGGGTTGAGGTGGCCTCATGCAGTTGTCTGCTCGTTGCCTACGCCAACACAGCCATCACTTCCATTGAAATCAGAAATCATTCCTTCCTGCATTCAAAAATTAAAACTGTAGTGACTATTATAGTTTCTCTTCTTGAAAAAAGAGGGAGAAAAAGAAATATACACAAACGGTCCACATCCATATATATAAGAAACCAGAAACTGCTTCACCATATGGCCTAAAATGCTAGGCAACCTGATTCTTGGGTAACAAGATATACTTATCTATTCACCATACTAATTGGTCAACGACAAAAGTTTGAAATACCCCATTGTTCCTTTGTGGGTTATATCTTACTCTAACATGGATAAACAAGAAGGCCACACCCCTGCTTTGATATGGATACCATATCCACCATGGGCTTTTTACAAGTCTAGCGGTTGGTGATAACTTTTTCCGTTGCAGTCTCCCTCAAAGTTAACTTATTCGCTTCATATTTTAATGTAGTTTAGAATCTGAAAAATAATACAATCCTACAAGTATTCTGTTTCTCACATACCACAGTGGGAAAGAGAAGCCGATGTTTTGAAAGTTAGTTGAGTGAAGCATGGTAAAAGGGAGAAGCAATTTTGAAAATCTGAAGGATGCAAGTTTTCATGTGCAACTCATAACACTAGCAGGGACTACAGAAATCAGATGTTTGCTTTCACTACAAGCAATGTATTTGATGAGAATTTACACTTCAAAACAAATAGTTGGTTTCTGTGAAGCATACCACCAAATCAAGCCCATCAGCGGACCAGCTAGATATCATATCAAGTGACGAAAAAACATGCAGACAGCATGGTCTTTGGCTTACGGTAACTTTTCCCTTTTCTTATCCTCGTTTTAGTCACTCAAAAATTTTCCCTGAGCAAATAAAATTGATGCATAAATCTAAATTCGGAGCAGAATGACATAGAAAATTACCTTTTTCTTGCTGCTTAAAAAGCTGAAACACAATTTCAATGCTGAATTTTGAGGCTGCTCAATTATGCTTTCCTAGAATCTCAGCAGCAACTTTGTCTCCTCGCAGACTTTCCATCATCTTCATAACTCAAACCATGATATGTCTGGTACCTTTAGGACATGAAAGTTCTCTGCTGTTTGACGGTATTTAGCATTTTGGTGTGACAACTTGAACAAGGCTCTTCCAGAGTTCTTTAACCACAAGTCCCTTCAAAATTCTCTCTAGAACATTTTCTGAAAGAAGATTCTCTCTGCAACATATGTCACCATGCTCTGGAAAAGTAAAGGATGAATGTACGATTCACAAAATAGACTCAGCCTGTTGTTCCATTCGTGGAATTTAACGAATGTTGAACTTATTTCTCTGCTTTGAGTTCACGATTAAGGTATTTCTGCATGCAGGAAACATGTTGTGCCTTCTTCTCAACTAAATGTAACTATGGCCAGCATCCTTCTTTGTTGATCTTTGTTCCATCATTTCCCTCATCTTCAATGCCGACTCCCATAATCCTGCAGCAGTATATACATTTGCAAGGACTACATAGTTTACAGATCTTTCAGGATATAAACTAAGAAGATATCCAGCAGCCACTTCACCAAGGTTCATATCACCATACATTCTACATGCACCAAGCATAGCACCCCAAAGTGATGCATTGGGCCTAATATTCATCTTGCAAACTAGATCATAAGCTTCTTTTAGTTGACCTCCACGTGCAAGGAGATCCACAGCACAAGAATAATGTTCAACTCTTGGAACGATTTGATACTTGCTCACCATCAAGTGAAAATATTCCAAGCCCTTGCTAATCAAGCCAGAATGACTGCATGCAAAGAGAAGAGCAAGAAACGTGACATCGTTTGGCTTCACCCCATCGTCCTCCATCTTTGAGAAAAGTGTTATTGCACCTTCTCCGCAACCATTCTTTCCATATCCAGTTATCAGAGAAGTCCATGAAATAACATTTTTATGTCTCATCTCATAGAAAGCATGACAGGCATCCTGAAGTTCACCTGACTTTGCATACATGTCAATAAGTGCATTGCCCAAGGCTACATCAGAATCTGGGTGCTCCTTTAACATATGAGCATGAATTTGTCTTCCAAAACTCAATGAAGGCACATTAGCACATACATTAAGAATGCAACTTAACATGACATCATCTATTCTCATGCCCATATGATTTATCCCACGGAATATCTCAAATGCCTTCCAACTACAGCTTTTGTCCAGCGCATACCCACTAACTAATGCAGTACATGAAATCAGGTCCCGGTCAACCATAGAATCATACAGCAGCTGTGCCTGACATAAGCTCCTGCATTTTGCATATGCATCGATCAATGACCCAGAGACAACAGAGTGACTTCCATGGCCCAATTTGACAATTGAAGCATGGATCTGGTTAACATAAATAGGAGATCTAAGTACACCAGAGGCCCTTAGAACACTTGCATAAGTGAATCGATCAGGCCGCATACCTGTTTCAATAAAGAGTTTAGACTAAGTAACAGGTCCATAAGTGAGATTCAACAAGATTGAATGTTGTTCTTGCTGACCAAATTACATTTTGAGGACTTCATTTTGAGGAATAATGACCAAATTACAGAAATCATACAAGAAATTAGCAGTAGAAGAAATATCTTGATGACTTTAAGGTCATGTACATTTTTCATGACCGAAGATGATTACGCCTTACAGCCTCTTGATAGTAATTACAGTTTACATAAAACAAGCTATGCCAATACAACTGAAATACACAGTACAGTTGAGCAGCAATTTATCCATATTGATTAAACGTTTAGCTATATGCAATGAGATCTAAAAATTGAGCAGTAAAAACATTCCAAGTTGCTAGGACAATCGATTCAAGCGTAACAAAAGCAATCCTAACATTCTAAAGATCCATGAGCTGGCTCCTAAATGCTATCACGCAAATCACCATGAGACATTGTAGAATGTGAATTTATTGCATGTAAATTATATCATACGGTAGCACTGATTCATATATGCTGCATGATCTTACATGCAATTAGATTCTTGAATTAGCAGAGTAACTAAAAACCATTTGAACAAATTTAAGCCATACCATCACGAATCATCAAACAGAACGCTCCAAATGCATCATCCCCAAGACCTCGCACGGCACAACCACCGACGATGGAATTCCAAGCAACAACATCCCTCTTGTTCATCCTCCCAAACAGTCGCAATGCCTCATCGACTGACCCGCACTTCAAATGCATATCAACGAGAGCGCTCTGCACGAACAAATCGTCCTGAAATCTGCTCTTGGCTATACATCCATGAACCTGCTGGCCACTGCCGAAGCAACCCAAACTGGTGCACGCCCTGAGGGCGCTCCCATACGTGAACTGGTTGCCCTTAAGACCCGACGATCGCATGTTAGAAAACACTTCCAACGCTTCTTCGGCACGCCCATTTCTGGAGTACCCAGAAACCAACGCGGTCCACGACACGACACTCCTTTCAGGCATATCATCGAACACCCTTCGCGCTGCGGCCAACTCGCCAAACTTGGCATAAAAGATGATGAGTTTGGTGCTCAGGTGGAGGTCAGGGGCGTGACCGGCCGAGAGCAGGTGGACGTGGAGTGACACACCATCTTCCTTGGCGCCGGAATCGATGCAGAGCTGGAGGAGCGAGGAGTAGGCGGAAGAAGGTAGAGCAGGTGCGGAGGGATCAGAGAGGAGGGAACGGATGGCTTCTCTTCGCCGGCCGAGATCGCACAGCGTGAGCACTTTGGGCTCGGGGTTTGCGTAGCGGGTGAGCTTGGAGAGGCGAACGATGGCAATATTCTCGCGAATCGCGTTCATGGACGTCGCCGGGGAACGGACAGCTCCTCTTCGCGCCGTTACGGAGCAATATAGAGACAACAAAGAGCAACCAACTTGAGACGAGTGCTGCTCGCACGAGTGTGAGAAGATGGAAGGTAAATAAAATAAATATAACTGAGTGAAAACGATGAATATTAATAATAAAAAACTTATTTCGAATTTGATTAGTTTGGTGGAAATGAGTCATCCAAAAGTCGAAGTTTGAACCATTAATTCAAAATGATTAAACCTAAATTAATTTTAATACACACATCATATTTTTATAAATTAATCTTAAATATTTTTAATATGATGAGACTAATAATGCACATGTCTTTATATTGTAAGGTTCTAGAAATTGCCACGAAAAACAAACATAGAATCAACGTGGCTTTTCTGTATTCGCTATTGCTTTCTCACTTCCAGATCGTAGTTCGATTGCGTGAGTGTTGCATCGTTGTCACTGTGTTGAATGACTGGTGACAGTGTGTACTCTTTCCAAGAGGTGACTGGACTTGGTGGTAGGTTTGGGTGGGACATTTCAATCAATCTCGACTGTGACTCATCCAGCTTGATGATGTACGTACGTATAATCATCACTGTCTACGGATTTGTAGCGAGTACTCTTAACATACTCTCCACGCATGTTCGCTTTGGCCACCACATCTAGCCATCAAGTGATCTTACACAACTGTGTTTTCTTCTGTTTCCTATAGCGATGCAGCCTTGCTCATCTCTTTCCTCAGATAGATTTGCATGAAAACGTATGTGGCTCTTTATGTGCAGGTCTCAGAACATTGACTATGATGAGATGGAATCTCTCTTTGGCCACTGTAACTTGAGGTTGGTACTCAGACGACCTTAAATGCTGCTGTTTTTGGCAGCTGGCAGATCACTTGCTATTTGGTATTCTCACTTCTGGACTGCTGGAGTTTCTCTTGCAGAAAGCACTGCCAGCAATGGTGGTGTGTGGGTCCGGAAGCTGAAGCTCGACTGTTGTTGATCGAGCCTTTTGAAAGGTTGTGCATGAAAAAGCTTTGACGAGAGTTGCAACAGATGCAATCATGATTTGCAATTATAATTATGATTTGCGTGAAGTACATGTCATCTCTCTCGATTATATAATCCTATAGTTGCATAAGAACTTCCATTAAGAATGTAGCTATGTATGTGATTGAAGGACTTGAGTTGTGTGGAATACTGGAAAATGATGGTCTCTCAAGAATTACATAGAAATCAAAAGCTGTTTGTTGGCATTTAAAGTATCGTATGGTCACGAAGGAAGAGATAACAAGGCAGGCAATACAACACAAATATCTTATGAAAGTCCATCATCTTAGTGCTAACCTTAAATACTCCAGCTTCTGCTATCATAAATATGTGTATTAGTGAGTGCATTAAATCGAACTGTAGGAGGAGGAGGAGACTGCATACATCACAACATATCATTCTTCCCAAAAGTGGAGGAATAAAGACCCTATCCACGACCAAATTTATTTCAAGGTAGATGAGGTGAAGGCATGAATCATGAAGAAGTGCTTGGGGTATGAAGACCCAAAAAGGTAGGAGCAAGACGTGCATGGGCAGATTCCAATTACTCCTCTTCCACTAGGTAATACCACAATAATTGCAAAAGGCATTAATGTTAAGGTTCATGCTTTCTTGGAGGAAACAATGAATCGCAGAAATGAATGGGATCTCCCCATCAACAAAACAAATATAATAATTCAAAATGTGTATTTCGGCTTCCATGTCTGTGCCAAATTGCCATTGTTGATGATCCCAGTGCTTTTATCATGGACAAAGGATCACCATGTGCATCTTGTGCAAGCAAGTAGTCCGTCTATTTTACATCTTCTAAACTAGTCAAGGACATGATTGAGCAGCTATTGCACTGCCTAAGGTTTTGCTGTCATCAAGCTTGGCTGATTTCAATGGATTGTCTTGGCTGCTAAATTCAACGAGTTCCTCAGTTAAGCCTAACCATGCAATGCTAGCTTTAAACTAAAAAGTACATCTTCTTATGTTCCGAAACTTTACTCATCAATGCAAAAAACAATTGCACTCATAAACTGATAAGGAATAGGTTTATACAAGTTCAAACCTGGCTTATACATGAATAGATTTGAAATGGTTAACATAAGGTTCTTCGTGGTGTTAACATACGAAAATAACTTATGAATCGGCCCAGTTGGTTCACTGGTATAGGTCCTTCCTAATGACTCCTCCTTGCTGACATAGAGAGTTGACATGGCGAGCCAGTGTAGAGAGCATGCTGGGGAGGTGATTCATTGAGCGCGATCTGGCCCTAGTATACTAGAGTCGAGTTAGAGAATTTGGCCGTTCTTGCTACTGGGCCACCTCTTGGTTGTATCTCCGGATGGCGACGGAAGTCTTGCATAACAGGTCTATACCGAGGGCATCCTGGCTCGATCCCTCCGATGCTTAAGTCAAAAGGATGGAGATAGAGGTTAACAATGTAAGTGAGAGGATGAAGACCTCTTGCCCACTTGCCCCAACTTAGTCCAGGGCTTGGCTTTTATACCTAAGCATTGTGCGGCCTAGACGTTCGTTCGCTAAGACCCCCCTTACCTTATATGGCAAAGGCATTAATGAGGACAGCTTGCTTACGTGTGTCCTTTAGTGCTTAGGGCGGACCACTAGGAGGATGCTTCTAGGCTGACTTCCTTATCACTTTGGATTAGACAGGGAGTGGTCCCTTCATTGTCAATCGGGAAGGAAAGACTGGTGAAGACGGACCATGCCATCAATCATTAGTACAAAGGCATAGCTTCTGCTAATGTATCACTTAGGAGTGGGTCGTGTGGGCCTATTCCTAGAAGTCGGGATAGGTGACATAACCTCCTACTGGTGACCGTAGGGAGTAGGTGGTTCGTAGGCTTTTGCTTAGGTGTTGGTTACATGGTGGGCGAAGCTGGCAAGTACCAAGATTATCCCTATCATTCATCCCCTCAAAAAAGTATTTTTTGGAGCTTCGAATGAAGGTCTCGAAGGACGTCGCTTTTTCTATATTCGTATGTGGTGGTGCGATCGCTATTTAGCTTCGAGTTCATTGCTGGCACCATGCTAGTTGGTGCGAGGCCCATTCGAGGATGGATTGTGCTTTGATGGGGTGATATTTGCTTAGACAAGTATTGACCTATGGTCTCTCTCTCTCTCTCTCTCTCTTTTCCTCCCTCTCTATCTTCGTTCTCCCCCTTTCACATGAGAGTTTATTCTCTCCCATTTTTCAAACTCTCCCTTCTGCTTCGGGAGGTTTCCTTCTTCGTTTTTGCCTACCCCTTCCACACGGGAGGTTAGGTCTTCTTTCGGGCCTACCCCTTCTTCCACTTATGGGGGCAAGTACTTGACCACTTGGGCAGGAGTGTAGGTCTATAGTAGCGAGTATTGGCTCGACTACATAAGTAGGAGGATCAGTATCAATTGGTCGTAGTGGCTTTCGTCATAGCGGGTCTTGATTTGACCATCGTGGGTGGAGGTATCGATATTAGTCTATCGTAGTGAGTCTTAATTCGACCATCATGAGCGGGAGTATTGGTATTAGTCCGCTAGAGTAGCTTTTGTTGTAGCATGTTTTGATTCGATTGTCGTGGGCGGGAGTATCGTATCAATCCGCTAGAACGACTTCTGCCATAGTGGGTCTTGATTCGATTGTCGTGAACAAGAAGATGGCTGGACTATATAAGCGAGAGGATAGACCCATTGTGGTGGGTTTTGGCTCAACCACGAAAGTGGGAGGATGGACCCACTGTGGTGGATTTTAGCTCGACCGCATAAGTGGGAGGATGGACCCACTGTGATGGGTTTTGGCTCGACCGCATAAGCAAGAGGATGGACCTACTATAGTGGGTTTTGGCTTAATTGCGTAAGCGAGCGATCTGGCCTTGGTATGGTACAGCTGGGTTGGAAAGCTAGATCATCCTTACTATTGAGCCACCTCTTGGCTACGCCTCCGGATGGCATGGGGGGTGCTGCACAACAAGTCTACGTTGGTGGCATCTCGGCTCGATCCCTCCAATACTTAAATTAAAAAAACAGAGATGGAGGTTAACAATGTAAGTGAGAGAGTGAATAGCTCTTGCCCGCTTGCCCAGTTTTGTCCGAGGATTCGCTTTTATATATAGGCACTGAGTGGTTTATACATGTGTTCTCCAAGACCCCCCTTACCCTGCATGACGGAGACATTAATGAGAGTGGTTTATTAGCGTTTATCCTTTGGTGCTTGGGCCAGACCGTTGGGGGGACGCCACTTGTCCCTCCCATTCAAGGAGATTCCTGGAAGGTGGGGCGTGGACTCTCTGGTTGTTTTTTAGCTTTAGGTGGAGGATGCGCAGCCGACAACTGGAGGGTGGGACGTTGTGCCATAATCGTCAACTGCATCAACTAGGGAGGAGTGGAGCAGTGATTTACATCATGCTGGTGAGGGTCTGGACCTACTGAGTAAGACTTAGGAATGCCTCTGATAGAGCGAGCAAGTAGCCTGTGCTTGGCCTTGGGGGGAAGTCTTGGGTCGTTGAGCAAGCACCAGTAGTGCCCTAGTGTCTAGGCCGAGGTAGATGCAACATTCTATTAGAAGGGAGGTGTGTGCCTTACTTTGCTCAAAAGGACTAAGGGACGTGCATAGCACCTCCTCACTAGAGCGCTTGTTGGGAGGACCAATGGAAGGATATTCTTATAACATTCAGGCCTTGCTTCTAGCACTAGAATAGTAACACATGAAAACAGTCGACTGGTGAGTCGGCCCAATTGGTTCACTGTCGAAAATGCAAGTCCTTTAAGATGACTCCTCCTTATTGACGCAGAGAGCTAGCATGACAAGCCGTTATGGAGAGCCTGTTGGGGGAGGTAGTTTATCGAGAGCGATCTAACCTTGGTTTGGTGGAGCTAGGTTAGAAAGCTGGGTCATCCTTGCTGCTTAGCCGCCTCCTGGTTGTGTCTCTAGATGGCATGGGGGGTCCTACACGACAGGTCTACATCAGGGGTGTCTTGGCTCGACCCCTCCAATACTTAAGTTAGAGAAATGGAGAGTGAGATTAACAATATAAGTGAGAGAGTGAATAGCTTTTGTCCGCTTGCCCCAACTTGGTTTGGGGCTTCGCTTTTATACCTATGTGCTGAGTATCCTGGACATGCATTCGCTAAGGCCCCCCTTACCCTGTATGACGAAGACATTAATAAGGGTGGCTTGTTGGCATTTATCTCTGGTGCCTGGGGTGGACCACTAGGGGGACGCTTCCGGGTTGACTTCTTTTATCGCTCTGGGTTAGGTAGGGAGTAGTTCTTTCATCGACCATCAGGAAAAGAAGGCTAGTGAAGACGAACCATACCATCAGTCATTAATGCAGAGGCATGACTTCTGCTGATGTATCAGTCAAGAGTGGACAGTGTGAGCCCATTCTTAGAAGTCGGGATAAGCGACGTGACCTTCTGTTAGCGATCATAGGTTTGTAGGTGATTTTTGAGCTTTTACTTAAGTGTTGTTTGTAACAGGGAGTTGGGGAGTGTCAATATTATCCCTATGACATATAAAATATATGTTGCATGTCATGCCAACCCAATAGTTTTTTAATTTTTGAATGCATTGTCCTTGTCCTTGGGAAAAAAGGATGTTTATGGGGAGGACCAGTGAGGCAACTTGGGTTGTGTTCCAGCCATTCATTCCCGGAAAGCTTCAATGTTACCCCAGAAAAAGAGTGGAAGACCGGGTGGTGTTTACTCTTTAGTCCACTGGTTAGTCTTTAGAGGAAGAATGTTGGGCAACTAATAAAAAGCTAGTTGTTGTATGAAAGGTATTTATGTACATCAACATCATGTGGTTGAATCTTGAAAGATGAAGGATTTATTACACCTTTATTATAATGATCAGAACTGGCATGCCTACATCATACACTCATCTTCTACCGCTCGGTGAACTGTCTATCAAACTGACATCACCTCAAGCAAGGTTTAACTTTGATTTGACCTAAGTTTCTGACCTTCCTTAAACACTAAATGTTTTACATCTCACCCATGAAATCTAGATGGAATCACCTGTCATGTTCTTGTCAGATAGAGCTCAATTCATAGCCGATCAAATACCCACCACTGATGAGTAGTTAAGGTTGAGATGAAGAGGAAGGGGAGAGAGATGGAAGTCATTGACAGCACCCTCCGATTCACATCATCATGGCTAAGGAAAAGGTTGAGATGAAGAGGGAGAGGAGAGAGAAGATGTCGTCTGAAACACCCACTTTGAGAACCGAGACATTTGAGGTCAAACGGAGGACTGTGTTGGTGACAAAAGTCAGAGAGAGTCCTATCACCAAAAACACCCCTCGAAGGAAATGTTATCGACATCAGTCCTCCGATCTCTCGTCCCTCCAAAGCCGCGTCGCTTACGCGGAAACCTCTGGCCGTAGCCGCGTGTGATCTGGCACTGGGTCCTCAGCCGTCGATTGGGAGATGGACGGTGATGATTCTTTTCGACTGTGGGTCCACCTCGGGACTCTCAATCTTGTCCTTTTTGTGGGACCCACAGGTATGGGGGGGATGCGTCCCGCGGAATCGCGTTTGGTGCTCCAAGATGAAATGGCTTCATGTAATACGTGTAGCAGCAGCATGTATTTGTCTTCCGTTATGAGCACTTGGTAAGGATTCAAGAACTCTTAATCAGCGTTAACTTTGGTTAAACAAACACGATTAGATCATAAATATGGTCTAATTAGTAAGACGAAAGATGAAGAATACGACAAGGACATAACCCCAAGGAGATAACGATGGAAGTAAAGGTATCTTTTGACTTTGTCCCACGTAGTTTTCTACGCAAACGCCAAGACATGCATGTCATCCCTCGCAACTCCTCGGTCCCACTCCCTTCTGCGTTACCAAGCTTTAGGGTCTCTCTTTCGAGTCCAATTTCTTCGAGCCATCTCTCTCTCTCTC